CTTATCCTGTAATTTCACTGTCTAATCAGCATCCAAATACAAAGTAAAGTGCTTGGTCAAGTAATCCTTCAATTCTTGTCCCTCACGGGTCTAGGTAGCGAACCTTGAATAAGGACGGAGGAAGAATAGAATAGAAAATCATTTATTCAAATAAACTTAATTTATGCACTTTTGAATAGTCAACATTATTATTATGCTTATTCGGAAAGCTGTCTCATTACAAGAAGAATAACCAAGAAACTTGTGTGTTGCTCTGTTAAACAATCCTTGTAAATTTACACTTTACAAGTCGAAACGTGTGAATACAAACTACCAACCAGCACTAATTTATTTAGGCTCAAATATAAAAACACAATAAGATTAAATCAGTCCTAGTGATAAGAGCAGTCCAGTCCGTACAAGCAGCACTCGTTCACGAGCATGACGGATGAGCCAGCCATCACTGCGCTCGACCATATTTTAGGGAGGGTTTAGACCCGTAGCGCTACCTAGTAACGAACTTTGAAAAAGGGCGAGCACAATAGATCTATACAGGTCGCAGTGTTTCAGGTCTTACCTAACAATAGCTCAAACACCCTAATAAAAAAAAGCTGTTTGGTGGCAGAAATAGGTGAGAGAGAGGTACCACTCCACTTTAGTAAACTTATTAAAGTTGGTTGTTAAAAAAAGTAGAATTTTAATTTCAATTCGTCTACTTCCAGTCTCACGCTAAGCAGAGCTTGTGCTGCAAAAGTGTGCATGTCTGTCTGTTTGTTGGGTTTTAACGACTCTACGGCTGGATATTGATTAAATTTGACATAATAACGTAGGAGAATTCACACAGCGCCATCTAGTCCCAAGCTAAGAAAAGCTGTGTTATGGGTATTAGACAACTGATATAAATACTAATATTATATGTATTTTGGAAAGATATATACAATAAGTATAATTAGTAACTCACGGGATCTTACCATGTTTTATTTTTCTTGAGTTTCCGATATTTCGGCAGTGTTTCAACGGCCATGATCACGGGTAAACTGTTTAACTGTTTAACGGTTTGAACATTGCCGAAATATCGGAACTCAACAAAAATAAAACCAAAACATGGTAACATCCCGTGATTTATTAATTATACTTATAAATAATGACCGCGTCAAACTTAAAACATATACAATATACATAAAAAAACACCCAGATTGATTATATCGATAATCAATCATACTCATAAATACAATCTGTACCATGTGGAGAATCGAACTCGTGACCGTCGGAAGTAATGTGGTGTGTTAAACCGTTACACCACCGAGGCTGTCGTATGTGGTATTCACCCAAGTTTTGACTTTAAAATGTAAAGTTGAACATTTTTTTGAAAAAGCAATAGACTTTCTTACTAATTCTTCTCAAACGGCGTAAGCTATTTCCCGAATCTCAATTTATTTTATTTATTTATTGCAATAAATATTTAATACAAGAATTATACTGATATAATGGGTAACAATGTCGTTCTTTTCTTTTATCTTCTTTTCCTCCCCCAAGTCCCAATCTCCATAGATTGGGACTTGGGGGAGATAAAAGAAAAGAATAAAAGAATATGGATTCATACAAATTATTCATCAGAATTGTTTCTGCGGTACTGAGTGGTGACTAGACTATTCTTATCTGTGCCTATGTATAATAAATGCATTGCATACACTGTAATTATACACAACTAGCTACTCGCTCCGGCTTCACCCGGGTGTACATGTATTATATATATAAGCCTTCCTCTAGAATCACTCTATATTTAAAAAAACCGCTTCAAAACCCGTTGCGTAGTTTTAAAGATTTAAGCTTACATAGGGACGGACAGACAGCGACAGTGACTTTGTTTTATACTATGTAATGATTATATAACCACGATTTTAGCTGGTGTACTGGTTTCGCACACTGCTTTACTTCCGATGGTCGCGGGTTCACTTTACTTTCGATAGGGTTCGATCTTTCGCACGATACAAACGTTTGTATTCATAAGTATACTTGTTTGTATCAGTCTGGGTTTTTTCTATGTATTTTATGTACGTATTTAAAAAAAATACATAATTTATCATTAATAATATCAGTTGTCTAGTACCCATAGCACAAGCTCTGTATAGCTTGAGACTAGATCACGTTGTGAGAATTGTCCTGGATTATTATTAAAAAAAATATCAAATTTCAAATAAGTCATCATTTATATAGAAACTAATTTTTTATATCATTTATATAAAAAAATAGTATACCGGGATCGAACTAGAGACCAAACAGCCTCATAATCCGCCATACCGTAGATATCGTCAATATAAATAGAACAAAGCACTCGCTTTGAATTTTTTTTTTCATATTTTTTGCATCGAACTGCATCTAATTCTAATGCTTAATAAAGTAGAAACTTAGGCATGATTGAACATAGCTTATGGATGGTCGTGTCTCGGTTTTGTATGTTTTTTTTTGTTATTTTTTTTATTTTCCCTTAGTAGTAACTTTCTCTATGTATATACATAAAGAAAGTTAATAATCTAAGCATATATGCGCCATCTTCCTCTTATTTAGCTGACCTCGGTGGTCTAGTGATGTAACACACACCCCGCTTTACTTTCAAGAGTTGCGGGTTCGATTCCTTATACGGTACAAACATTTGTATTCATGAGTATGATTGTTTGTATTACTCTGGGTGTTTGGTATGTATTTACAAAAAAATGTATCTATGCATTTATATGTATGAGTTGTACCTAACCATAACACAAGCTCTGCTTAGCTTAGGACTAGATGGCGCTGTTATTACTTCATTGCTATTAGTTATTTTTTTCTATACGAATGTATGGAAATTTATGTCACACCCCTGGTGTTTCAGGCGTCCATAGGCTACGGTAACCGTTTACCATCGAGTGTCTGCTTTTTAGGAATTAAGATTAATTTATATTTGTTCATAATAGAATCTAAATTCACTTACAATGAGATTAACATAGATGGAGTAAATGTATGACGAGTTAATATAATAAATTTGCTTTGTTTACCTCTGCTCCAAGTCCTTTTGTTGTAGACAGAGATAACTAAATAAAATATTCGTCTACCATTAAAAAATTACCAAAAATTATTATAATATAATTTAAAAATATTTGGTTTTTTAATTGTAATGTATTTGCTTCACTTACCTCTGCTTCAATAGTGGTAGACAGAGATAACTAAACGAAAAGTATTCAACGTTTAAAAGTAACCAAGAATTCTAAATAACAATACAATCTAAAAATACTATAATACGAAAACCGTCTAACCGAATCACGTCTAAGCCTAGCGAAAAGGTGAAAAAAAAAGTTGAAATTAAAAAGAAAAAGCAGCCGGCGGCCATGTTTCCCGCGCTGCGTATCAAGTTACGCAGGGGCGGGCTGTCAGATCGTGTACACGTCACTTTGTGCGTTCCATTCGACGAGTCTGCCTATTTTGTGAGCCCACTGTTTTCTCGATCGATGAATAAATAAAAAAAACACCTGTATGTACCTACTTCAGATTCAAATTCATTTATTCATATTCAAATTCAAAAATCATTTATTCATGTAGGACATTTTAGCCGCTTAAGAATGTCAATTTTTTTTATGATCATTTTTTCCTACCGTCCAGATCAGTATATAGATCCAATTGAGAAGAACTGGACACGAAACTCAATTGATTTACTTTTTTGTATTTTATGTTGGGCTAAAAAGGACTTGTATCCAGAGCCGTAAAATATTAAATTAAAAAAAAAATTACTTATTTTTGTTTTTTTTTTCGTATAGTAGTGTTTGTGCAATGGTCGACATTCGACCATAATTAGTTTAAATTGTATTGAACACTAGCCCGCGAACTCCATTCCGTCTCAGAATTAACTAATATGTCAAAAGTTTTTTGAAGTTCAAGTATGTAAATAAACTGAACGGACCTTATTTTATTCCCAGGAAGGGACAGTTTGTATAGGAAAATAATATTCAAATTCAAAATATCTTTATTCATGTAGGTCTATTACAGACTCTTATGATATGTCAAATCTACCGTCAGTTCGGAATGATTTCTAGATGTGAAGAACTGATAAGAAACTCAGCTCGTATTCTTTTCAAATAAATGTTGTACATGTTTACAATAATACAGATTCCATTTTAAATTCAAATTTGGGAGAATTGAGTGGCCACTAGAATATGCTATTGCAAAAGCAAAGTCTAATCAGTGTTCGTAACCCGAACAGACCAGTCCCCACAAGCACCTGGTCACGAGTATGACAGATTATTTATTTATTTATTCATCCAAAACAATACAAATTGTGTATGATAACATAATAGTGATATTACAGTAAATTTTTGTCAACAACTTCATAGCAACTTAAACAGTAAATCACGTTGTCAGCTAGAATAGTACAGTAGGTCCTTATAAGTCTTTATGATCATCATTATAATAGTCATCTATAAAATAGTATCTTTTATTCAATAAAAATGTCCTCTATCTGGTCTTAAACAATGTGAAGTTATATATATAAGTTTTTAAATATATATATTTCCAGGGGGACCACCTACCACCTACCATGTAGGTGCATACTTAGCAATAAGATCATAAGTCCATATTACTAACCCTTGCCCGTAAATTGCCCAGGATTATTATTATTAATTATATAATCTAAATATATATAACTCAAAGGTGACTGACATAGTGATCTATCAACGCACAGCCCAAACCACTGGTCGGATCGGGCTGAAATTTGGCATGCAGGTAGATGTTATGACGTAGGCATCCGCTAAGAAAGGATTTTGATTAATTCTACCCCTAAGGGGATAAAATAGGAGATGAAAATTTGTATGAAACTTTGTCAATTTTAAACCGATCGGGCTGACACTTTGCATGCATAAAGCTACTATGACGTAGGCATCTCCTAAAAAGGATTTTGATAAATTCCACCCCTAAGAGGATAAATTAACGCGAGTGAATTCGCGGGCAAAAGCTAGTAAAATATATACTCATTGTAAATATTTGTTTGTTTTCAGTGGCGGCGCCGGCGACAAGCAGTTAGATTCATCGACAGACGACGACAGCGACGCGCCCCCCCACCCGCAGCAGTTGGCGCCCCCCGCGCACGCCCCGCAGCCCCTCTACCCGCTCTACGAACACCCTCTAGCTCACCTCCAGTACCATCACACGTGACCCTACTAACACTCTCTATATTGTAATTATATGACACCCTGTATACTGTATACAGTAAATGTGAGATTATTGTTAGAGAAATTGGAATTTATATTTAGTGTATTTCAAGATTCGATCCAAAATATTTCATTTATTATTATATCACTCAACTATTAGAAGTATACGGCTTGCTTATAATTATATCGCTCAATTATTAGTCGTATATTCCATACGGCTAGTCTGATGCAAAACCCGAACTATGAATGGCACCAGGAACTAACATGAAATTTAGTAGGACTACTTGATTTTGTACAAAGTCGTCTGCGTGGTAATCTCTATCTCATCTATTGACAGCCTCAATTCCTCGCACTGTACAAACATTTGTATCCGGGGTACTTGTACATAGACAATAGTTGCCACTTACCATAAAGTAAGATGTCAGTTTATTATTCCCGTTACATAAAACTAAGTAAATAAAATAATTAGAGAAAAAAATACTTAATAATTAGATATTATCCGTTATTTGTCTTATTAAAGACAATATATTTCTCTTTCTCTAATATAAATTTCTAATTCATATCAATAAAACTGACTCAGTGTTTGACACATTAAAGTATTTTTTTAATTGCAATTGTATACCATAATAATACATCCTGTATACCATAATTAAATTAAATACCCTGTATAATGTAATTAAGGTTGTTTATATGCACATAATAGTGATATATTCGTGCAGGTTGCAACGAGAATGGTATATCAATCCGAAACAGTGATAATATTCGTGAAACTAGAGACTCTTTGGACACAAATTTGGTTCGAAATTTGAAAACAAACTTATTTTATCGAACCGCGCGGTTTAATGAAAATTCGTGAAACTAGAGAATCTCCGGACATAAATATGGTTCGAAATTTGAAAATAATAAGCTTTCATTCGAACCGCTCGGTTATTTAATGGAAAATTATTTAAAATTCGAATTATTTTTATGGAAAATGGTGCAGTTTCACGAAGTCTATCCTAGGTTTCGGACTCATATAACCTACTCAGTTATATCTTGTATAACTTTTTATTAATATTATATTATGTATACTTTCTCCAAATATTGATTACAGCCAGTTATTCCATTAACTTCAATCACACATAGTATTTCCTCAACCGTTTTTTAATAAATAAAAAAAATTAAAATCGTTCATTACGCGGGACTTGCTTGGATTTATGTAAAGGTGCAGAGAACTTGGTTTCACATAAATTAAGTCTAAAGTTTGATTTCTGATTTAGCCAAAATGGAAGACGATTTTTTATATATCGGTTGAGTAGAACTATGAGTTAATTGGATATTTTAAGCATTTTTCAATATTCATACATATCACAATTTTTAATTAAAATATTAAAGATATTTAATTTAAAATTATACATATAGTATATCGATGGCCTCGGTTTTGTCTATCGGTTTAGTACAACGACCGCCTTACTTCCAACACTAGTAACAGATTCGATGCAAACATATGGCATTAGCACTAGTATAATTATTTATAACGGTGTTTACAATCATATACAAGAAGAGGAATGTTTGTTAAAACAGATTAGATCATTGTCTGTCTGTCCCTATATATGCTATCTTTTTTAATTAATGATCTTTATAATACTACGCAACGGATTTAACATAGTACAAACTCGTTATCGCTGTCTGTCCGTCCCTATATATGCTTAAATCTTTAAAACTATGCAACGGATTTTGAAGCGGTTTTTTAATAGATAGAGGGATTCAAGAGGAAGGTTTATATAATACATGTACACCCGTGCGAAGCCGGGGCGAGTAGTTACATATGTAATGTTTCAACTTACATTCCTCTAATGCATATACATATATAATTCGGTTCATATATAGTCAACACGTTCCATCCAGTGGGCCGAACTATTGCAGTTAAAATTACTTTATAACAACAAATGTATTTATATCGGCGCTGCCATGATTCGGGAATTGTCCCGTCTTGAAATAATTGTAAATAAGAAATCTAAAACCTACGTTCCGGTTTCTGCTTCAAAATATATATTACAAAACTCTATCTACCGGTTTCACGTGAAATTTATAGCCTGTATGTTATTCTGATGTATAAGCTATAATACAGTTTCATCAAAATCCGTTCAGTAGTTTTTGCGTGAAAGAGTAACAAACATCCATCCATACTCACAAACTTTTGCGTTTATAATATTAATAAGATACTATATTTGTAATTCAGCTAGGTACACACATCAAGTTTAAATGAGGGAGAGGGTTGATCGAAATAGAGTAAAGTGACCCCCTTTTCTAGAAATATACGATGTCAGGTCGAACTCCACACCTTCCCTGGTCCTCTGCATGGTGGCTAATTCCACGTGAATTAATTATAACGGATTAACTGACCTAACTTCATCCCTCTCTGACGGTTCTAGGTAGCGAACTTTGAAACAGGGCGAGCATAATAGATCTATACCGGTCGTAGTGCTACAGGTCTTCGCACCTGACAATAGCCCAAAACCTTCACTAAAAAAATATCCTTTATCCTTATCCTATCATCCTTCATCATTATTTATCATTTCATCACATTATCATCACATTATCGTCATTCTATTATCATCCCTAAAATACCATAACAAGGGATTGTTAGTAATGTGCACTAAATACTCCATCGCTAACAATGTACCAAGTCAGGTAGACCTCCACGCGGTTACCCCTGGAAACCATCGTGATAAATTCCTGGTGAATTTGTCACGATGTGCTAACTGACCTGATCTCATGTTCATCCTATCATCCTGAACTGGTGCCCCGCCAGCGTATACCCTTAGCGCAGACAGGTGCACCATTCCATTATCATTATTAAAAAATACCATAAGAAAGCGACAATTTAAAATGTAACTAAATATATTTATTGTTTATTTTTAATATAAATTTATTTATAATTATATTACTTAGTAAATGCGTGTATTTACTTGTATAAATATATATTAAGATAAGAAGCCCGCATGTCAAGTACATATATAATACACAATGTAATAATTAGTATTTTTTAAAAGAAAGTGTGTTGTTAAATTTTATAATATTGTTTTATTTATATACTTATACTAATTCACCCCACAAACGTTTGCACTATATATTAAAGGATTAATATCGCTATAATTCAGTAGTTTTTGCGTGAAAGAGTAACAAACATCCATCCGTTCATCCACATGTACAAACTTTTGCATTTATAATATTAGTAGGATTTATTAGCAGGATAAATTTCCATTTACGTCCGTGTAATCTTGACCAATAAATAAATAATAAAGATTTTTTTTCAAAATCTAAACCAAAACGCCAAAAAAAATTTTCATCTTTCTTCAGCTTCGAAAATGATGATTTGCCATATAAGCTTACATCCTCTATTTCTCAAACTTTGAATGTCATATTTATTTATATTTAATCAACAGCTATAAATATAAGTTTCAAACTTCTAACTTTAATAATGACGAGACGTTAATAACAGTCTAAGTCTCTCTGTCCTATCTGTGTACATTCATTTAACATTTTAGACAGACAGAGTTACAGTCCCATTCATAACATTAGCAAGGAATTGATAAGGGTTAAAATAATCACTTTTATTATTAAAATTAAGACATTTTTTATAATCGTTTTAAATTTATTAATTCGTTTATGTTTCCTACTTATTAAACATCAATGGACTTTAAAATTACGCCTCCATCCCTGATTACGACATTCGATCTGGTGTAGTATCCAACACTTATAATTTCTGATGATGATATTGATGTGCTGATATCCGCAGCCCTCATTACATCATTGATGCCCAGTGCCCAGAAATGATGACCCTTATACGTCCTCCCATAATTAATAGCCGTGTCTCCAGAAAGAGTGGCTTCGTAGTCCACCTTTATTTGCATAGTACCTCGAGTGGCATAGAGCTCAGCGATCACTTCTTGATTAGGTTCTAAAGTTATTTGTACTCCCGACTCTGAACCTACACTCACAGCCTCAGCTTTGGATACCGATTTTCCCCATTGGGAACTGTAAGACATAGAAGTCTTTCCTGACACTGAAACTGCTTCTACCTTGATTCCATACTCGATGGACTGGCCTACTGTTAAATCACCACCCTTCTCCCACTTGGACGTAATGGTATTCTGGACTTTCTGCTGAATTTGGGCTTTGAATGTAGCAGTTCTGGTGCTGTTGTTGTGGAAGACTTGGTTCATCACGATGGTAGGTTGAGAGGTAACGTTGAGGATGGTCGCTCGTACTGGAGTGAGGATTCTTGTGACTTGGTCCCAGTTGTAGCTTTTGTAGAGGTCACCCCAGGGTGTGGGGCTTCTTACGAAGGCGTCATCAGGCCGTTTTCCAAAGTAGGTTCCCACGGCATTTTTGAGACTGTTATCACTGATTCCGAATGATGATCGTTCTTCGTCGCTGATGATGTCCACTATGTTTCCAGCTACTTCTGCTGCGCGTTCTGCTTCGTTATCAGAAGCGACGATGTTGATATCCACTTTAGCGAGGATCGCAGGTATGATGAACAGGATACCGAGATGTTTTGTCTGCATGATGGCCTAAAAATTTTAATAATTGAATAATATCTCAGGACGTTAACACAGCGTTATCTAGTTTACTGATACAAATACATAGATATTTTTTTTCGTAAATACATACTTAATATACATAGAAAACACCCAACCGACACAAACAATCACACTCATGAATACAAATGTTTTCTGTTGAGTACGGTGTGTTAGAGAACCGATATAAATACAAACATAATTACATTACATAAATTTTTATATATACATAGATAACTCAGACCAATACAATCATTTTATGAATACAAATGTTTGTACAGAGCAAGGAATCGCGGGTCGCAGGTTTGATTCCTCGCACGGTCCAAACATTTGTATTCAAGACTATGATTGTTTGTATCGGTCTGAATATTTTATATGTAGTAACAAAAATCTATGTATTTATATCAGTTGTCTAGTACCCACAACACAAGCTCTACTTACGGTGAACTAGATGACGCTGTTAATTGTTCAGGGTTATTTAATCTATACCTATTATCAGTAGCGTAGTTAGGTAACCAAGGGCCCTGGGGCAAATCAAAAAAGGGGCCCCGAACGGCAGTGGGGCCCTACATTACAGTTTTATTAAAACGTACATATCGGTATCCGTCAAGTGGACAACACTGCCAACCCACAGAAAGAATTTAGGGGAATTCTGAAGATATAACTTTCGAATTTCTCTCAACTGAGTTGCCATGATTAATGTCGGGTTGCAACCTGTCATATTTATTTTGAAAATGGCAGAAATTTTCAAAAGTTCAGCTTGATTAAGATTTTCCGATAAGGGTTCAAGGGCCACCTGAGCTTGAGGGCCCCGGGGCAATGCTTCGCCTAGCCTCTAGGTAGCTACGTCACTGCTTATTATCTATTTTTATTATAAGTAAATTAGAAAACACTTACTTACTTTGTGTGGTGTCAGTCAATGATTTATAATCACATCTCTCACATATTTATATATCTTCTTTCATTAAGATTAGGAAAATATTTATACAGGCTGTTCTTGCCTAAACCATAACCTAAATTAATAATATCTATAAATTTACCGGTATAGGTAAATATTTGATTTTTGTCTAAAGGTATAATGCTCCGTTTACATTCAGCCGATTCTCCTGCCACTCGCGCTGCCGGATATATTGCTGGGCGACAACTGAGCGAGAGGGCTGAATGTAAAAACACGCTGCCAGTCCTTTGACTTGCGCACGAAAAGCCGACAATCGAGGGAGCTCGTCTTTACTCACGCTGCTCACTTCCCTGCCCACTCGGGCTGAGTGTAAAGTGGGCATAACGTTATAGGTTACACCGTAACCTCTACTTTTGATGGTCGCAGGTTTGTCTAGAATATGGTGGATAAATATTTGTACGTGTGTTTACATTTTTTTAGGATCACATTGTTCACATTATTTTGCTCTAATTCATAATGATAAGGTGCTTAAAGAGGGCCAATCGAAACCGACACAGCACCGGCAGGGCCCAACTTCTTGTTGCGTGCCGCTACACTGACCACGACAATGTACTCGTACCTATCCCGCCTACACTACACTACCAAGGAACAGGACATTGTCGATTATATCCGGACCAAAAGTAACCTGACATTGAGGGTGACGCAGCTGGAATCGAATCACAACGCGAGCTTCAGCTCGGGTCCCCACAACATGCTGCCCACCTTCATGACGGAGGACTACTGGCCGAAGGGGGTGGTGTAACGGCGCTACCGTGGCAGATTGCTGTCGTCAGTGCCATTACTATAGAGACAATTTTATTATTATTCCGTATATATGTTAGTCTATTTTCAATATGTTATTTATAATATATAGCCTGTGTAGTGTATGTGGAAACACTAGTGTTATTTTTTGTCGTCTCGCGCCGAGCGTACACGAGCCGCCGCGCCGTGCGCAAGAAAGGAGAGATTCCCCGCGCAAGCGCCGCGGAGTAAAGACCTGGAGCCATAGTATACCAGGAGATACAAGAAGACATAAATAACAAATAAGTGAACACCTATAGCCTGAATAAAATAAATAAACAAAAAAAATATTGTAATTTATATTTATGGGTGTTTTCTATGTAATACATATTTTTATGGATGATAATGGAATGGGGTCCTGTCGATTATTTAAAAGAGCATGCGAGTTTTTTTCACGTTCTTCTTCTGAGGGGACAGCTTTCAGAATGAGTGGTAGATTGAAAGAAGGATCTCATCTCATCTGATGCCCACAGCAGTCCACTGCTGGACATGAGCCTCTCCCAAGGCACGATCTTCAGCCCTTCTCTTTCAGTTACTACCCGCAATCCAACCCTACGTATGTCGTCGCTCCACCTAGCTGCGGGGCGTCCTACACTACGTTTGCCAATTCGCGGTCTCCACTCTAGAACTGGTCTACTCCAGCGAGCATCGGTTCTACGACAGATATGACCAGTCCACTGCCACTTCAACTTACAAATACGTAGAGCTTTGTCGATGACCTTAGTTCTCTAGCGAATTACTTCGTTACGGATTTGATCCGTCAGAGAAACTCCAAGCATAGCTCTTTCCATGGCTTGTTGAGCGAGTTTGAGCTGGTGGACCAGTCGTATCGTCAGTGTCCACGTTTCGGCCCTTCCCTCCGATCGATCCCCCGTCCAATTCAAACGGGGATCGAAACTACGACGGCTTGAGCCGAGGTTCGAACCCCTAGTGGTGCCCTCAGACTAAAGTCAGGCAGGAGTTGACCTTCAGCTGCTCCATAAGTCTTTCCGCGGGTTTGGAGTGCCATCTGCACTCGCCCCTAACGTCCGGTGAAGCTGTAAAGGCCAGCTGTGGCCAGCAGTATTAGAGTAGTCCGAAAAAAAAAGTTTCGGCACCGTAAGTCATAACGGGCAGGATGCAAAAGTAGAATAACTGTGACTATTCAAAAGTGCTTAAATTAAGTTTTCTATTCTATTGTGATACAAAAAAACAACATGTATATATATAAGTGTTGATTGTTGATTGTGTCATAATTTAATCAACATTTAGAAAAACTAATATCATAATCGAATTAAAATTGTATTCAGTTTTAAATGGGTTTTGATGGTAGAGGTCGTTACATTATCAGTAATACATTTAATAATTGTTAATGTTAAATTGCTTTTTTCAATATTAAATACAAGTTTACAAAAAGTAATATAGAAGTTTAAGTTATATTGGTTTTTTTAACTATTTTGTTATTGTAATGTATATGGCAACCTCGTTGGTCTAGCTATTTAGCACGCTGCTTTACTTCCGATGGTCGCGGGTTCGAATCCTCGCACGATGTCAACATTCATGCGTATGGTTGATTGTATCCGTGTGGGTGATTTCTTAATGTTATGTATGTTTTTTAATGTATATTACATATTATATTAGTTGTCTAGTACCTTTAACACAATTCTGCTTTGCTTTACTACTAGATGGCGCTGTGTGTAACACAGGAGGGGTATAACTGTTATTAAATTTGAAAAGAATCGTATTCTTTCAGTTGAGTTTCTTGTCAGTTCTTCTCAGTAGATTTGACAAGACATAAGAGCCTGTAATAGACCTACATGAAAGTCATTCAACACTGGTCCAGTTCCAGAGACAATTAAATTTCCACCGTAAACACTCAAATTAAAGTGTGTCAAATTATATTTAATACGAGCTGTACACGCGACTTCGTCCATGTGGAATATAACTTTATTTTTCTAAAATAACAGTAGCCTAAGTTACTCCTTATTACATGAGCTACCTGCCAAAAATAGTCCCGTCAAAATCGGTCCAGCCATTTCAGAGATTAGCCGGAGCAAACAGATAGACAAAAATTGCAAAAAATGTTATTTTGGTGTATGTACCGTATATATGCATGTAGTAAAAACGGTTATTTCAATATTACAACCAGACACTCCAATTTTATTTATATGTATAGATTCTACCTATTTTTTTATATAAATAAATTTCTATTAACATAATGATTCATAGTATTAGGTACTTATATATTGTTTTCTATTTAGTTTACTTTTCATTATACATATAACCATATCCAGCGTATATTGCATGCGTCTATATAATTTAGCTTTTAGGCATACAGTGTTGGATTACAATCCAGTTTTATACCAAACTACACGTTGCTAATCAAATTCTTGTATTAATTGTAATCTATTTTGTGTGCTAATAAATAAATAAATTAATACTGTTGGCAGTGGCGGATCTACCTAAGGGCTTTTTGGGCTGCAGTCCTGGGCCCCAGTACCCACTGAAACGATATTTAGAATATAAAAAAATATCTAGAATGTTAAAAAATCTATCATAAGGGAGGCAACCCAATGAGATTAATAACCCATGCAAGTGTGCGGGGAATTTTCAATCATCTTCCAGACAATTATAGAAATCTCAACATTAAACAATTTAAAATATTAAATAAATATTATTATTCCACAAATGATTATTTAAATGATAATAATGAATTGTAATAATAGTTTTAAATAAAATAATTTCATAATAATGTGTTGTAATAATAATTTTAAATATAAAAATGTGATAATAATGTAAATGTAATAAATATTATTGTAAGTTTTTACACGCCGGAAACGGCAGGGCATGTTTGGAACTATTATAATCTTAAGACTATTATGTACACATGTTCCAGTAAATAAATTGAATTGAATTGAATTGAATTTCTGGTCGCTTGTTTTTGGTCGGTGTATTTTTTTAGTTGAGTACTATAATTAGATAGGTCCCTAAGTAGATTTAGCTCAGGACCCCACATATTCGCGATCCGCAACTGACTGTTGGCCGTAGCTGGGTTTTACAGTTTCACCGGACGACAATAAGGCAAGTGCAGAAGACACTTCAAACCCGCGGAAGGACTTATGGAGCGGCTGAAGGCCAACTACCGCCTGACGGATACGACTTTAGTCGTTATAGTTTACTAATATTATAAAAGCAAAAGTGAATTATTTATACCTTATACCCATTTAAATGAAATTTGGTACACAGATAGTCTAATAGCTTACTATAGAAAACTAGCTTATGAATCCTCACTAATATTATAAATGCTAAAGTAACTCTATCTGTCTGTCCGTCTCTTTGTCTGCCTGTCCATCTGTTTATCTCGCTTTCATGCCAAAACTATTGAATCTATTTAAATGAAATTTAGTACACAGATTGCCTATACCTGAGGAAGGACATAGTTTACTTTATAATACGAAGAAAGGGTTGTAATGGGTTGAAAGGGGAGATGGGTTTAGGTTTTTTGGGTACGATTATATACGATTATAAATATTGAATGTTCAAGGTTACTATTCCACGCTGACGCGACGTAGTCGCGGGCACGTCTAGTAAAGAGTATAGGGCACAAATATTAAACTAAGAAAGACATATAAAAGTATCAATTTATTCGGGTAACAAAAATTACAAAGTTATTTAGAAAATTTGCATCGGTATAACGTACAGTACAGCATGTGTGTCGTAATCTCTTACTACAACTTTGGAGTCTGAATAGAAACCTACTTCTATAATTTCCTTGGACGTTATCGAGGTCTTCATATTGGCAGATCGCATCACGCTGTTGACGTCCAGGCGCCAAAAGTGATGACCGTTGTGTTTCTTCGAGTAGTTCACAGCGACACTGCCTGACAGTCTGGCCTGGTAGTCGACTTGGATCTTCATGGTCCCTCGTGTTGCAAACAACTCTGCTACCACGCTCTGTCCAGGCTGCAGCGGCATTTCGACACCTGATTGGGATCCTACAGTAACTGATTCCGTCTTTGTCACACTTTCGCCCCACTTCGCTGTGTAAGAGTAGGATGTCGTGCCCGTGACAGCGAATACTTCGATATCGTAACCATAATTGATTTCCTGGCCTACAGTAAACGCGCCTTCTTTCTCCCAAGTAGAAGTCACTGTGCTCTGAATTTGTTGTTGAATTTGCGCGTTGAATGTAGACGACAGCGAGCTGTTGTTGTGGAAGATTTGTGTGAAAACCATAGTAGGGGTTGAGCTAACTCCAAGGATTCTTGCGCTACTAGGAGTTAGGATGCAGTTGACCTGGTTCCAGCCATATGTCTGATAAAGGTCGCCCCAGGGTGTTGGGCTCCTGAGGAAGGCGTCATCAGGGCGCTTGCCGAAATGGGTGTTGACTGCGTTCTTCAAATTGTTGTCTCCCAGCTGGAAGGTATGCCGCTCCGTATCGCTGATGATGTTCCTATCACTTCCAGAGACCCTCACATACTGTTTTGTTGGGTCGTCCGATGCCTTAATTTTAATATCTATTCTTGCGTACACTATTGGAATAATAATGAAGATTGCCAAATACTTCAACGCCATTTTGTTCTGAAATTAAACAAGTTTAAATTATTTATTGTTATAGTTTACTTCTTCATCAATGAATACAGGAAAAAGAATTTAATTTCTTCATCAATGAATACAGGTCAAGATCGCGGGAAGGCATTGGAAAAGACCGATCGTTGGAGATCTTTGGGGGAGCCTATGAACGTCTTCCGGGCTGCAATGATGATAATGATGATGATGAAAGCCTGTAGTTCAAATAGATCATAAAACCATCGCTCCTTAGAATATCCTTCAATTCTTGTCCCTGACGGGTCTAGGTGGCGAACTTTGACAAAGGGCGAGCACAACACATTCATACAGGTCGCAGTGTTACAGCTCTTAACATCTGACAATAGCCCAAAACCCTCAATTAAAAAAAGCCTGTAGTTCCAGCCAGCAGCGAAGTGTTGCGTTCCCCGTCACGTGGATTTTATAACGTCTCTTGCTATCCCATCTTCGATATCAGTTGTGAAGATATTATTAATATAATAAAACTCACTGTTTGTACGCCCCTAGGAGTTATAATGAAAAAATTTAAATTTATGGACTTATATACATCTTCAACAGCTATACAGGGTGTTTCTATAACTACAATTATTAAATTAAATGTTAATACTTAAATATTTATGTTTATTTAAATGTGAATAACATATTAACGTTTATTAAACATATTTAAATAATAAATAATTATATTTCCTAATACGAAAACTAATTTAAACATAAAATTCCCAAAATTGTCTTATAAATAAAGAAGTTCTGAAGTAACTAAGTAAGACTACTTTTTTGACGTCGGTGAAAAAGGAGGGATCGTTTTCCTTTTTTCATACCACAGTGGAGGTAAACACGTATCTATATGGTGTATCTGAGGCAATGAAACAAGGAAACAATGCGCTGAGTTGATTTATTATATGTTACACATACATATTAAAAAAGATATATATATATATAGTAGATATAGTAATTACTTCTTTTTTTATATATACCTATTCTGTTCTTTTTTTTATTTATAACTAGCAGCAATCGCTACTTACTTTTCTAAAATAAATGTAGCCTAAGTTACTCCTTATTATATCAGCTACCTGCCAATACAGTTCCGTCAAACGCGGTCCAGCCATTTCAAAGATTACCCGGAACAAACAGACAGACAGACAAAAAGTTATTTTGGTGTATGTACCGTATTTATATTCATATGCATGTAGTAAAAAACGGTTATTTAAATATTACAAACAGACACTTCAATTTTATTTGTATGTATAATGTGTTGTAAAATGTGTATCTGTTGAACGTAAATAAAGTAAATTATATTTTTATCTATCTGATGGTAAATACATACCGTAGTCTTTATGATATGTTTTATTTTATTTTTATATACATGTAAGTAGCCCGATGAATTGCGACTCTGTAGTGGCAATGGGCGGGGCACATAGCTCGTAGGACAGATGGCCGTGGGGGCAGTAAAGTCCTCGAGTGGCGACCACGGACCGGAAGATGCAGCGTGGGAAGGCCTCCAGCAAGGTGGACCGACGATCTGGTCAAGATCGCTGGAAGGCATTGGATGCGAGCAGCGCAGGACCGATCGTCGTGGAGATCTTTGGGGGAGGCCTATGTCCAGCAGTGGACGTCTTCCAGGCTGCGATGATGATACATGTATGAAACATTACACGTGAGACCCTCACGTGTGCGTTGGTAACACTATGTAATATCGTCTTATCTCTGGTAACACTAAAAGTGTGACGGTCTCGGTAGACTTGCAGTTTAGCACACCGCTTTACTTCCGATAGTTGCGGGTTCGATTCCTCATACGGAGCAATTATTTCTATTCATGAGAATGTTTGTATCGATCTGGGTATTTTCTATCTATATTATGTATTTACAAAAAATTTATTTATATTAGTTGTCTAGTACCCATAATACAGGCTCTGCTTATCTTGGGACTAGATGGCGTTGTGTGAATTATCCAGGTATATTATTATATATATTAAACTTTTTCAAATCTCAAAACAAATTGTGTTAAAACAAACACATTTTTAAATGAAATATAACTTTACTGGATTAACAGACTTAAATGTGTGTTCGAGGAACAAACTGCGCTAATATTTATGATCTCACACATGCTAATGGTAGCTAAATCAAACTAAGTCATAATAAATCCATTAATTAATTGAATGGACATCTACATAATAACCTCTAATTTGATAAAATATGTGTACTTAAAGACTACAAAAAGGTGTAACAGAAATGCAAAATCAAAATGCAATAATTTATTCACGCAAATATCTAAGAACATTTTAGAATATACTCATCGGTAAATTGTACAGAATATTATTGGACTTGCTATCTCTAATCACGATATTTGAGTCAGAATAATAACCCAAATTTATGACTTCATGAGATTCCGCAAAAGATTTTAGGCCTCCGGCTCTCATCACACTGTTAATGTTAAGAGCCCAGAAGTGGTGACCGTTGTACTTTTTGGAGTAGTTGACAGCAGTACTCCCGGACAGTGTGGCATCATAGTCTACCTGAATCTGCATGGTGCCTCGTGTAGCGTAAAGCTCAGCTATAACCTTCTGGCCAGGCTCCAAATGTATTTCCACTCTTGATTCGGATCCTACGGTCACTGTTTCTGATCTGGACACGCTCTCTCCCCATTTGGATGTGTATGAGAATGAGGTTTTACCACCGACGGATAACACTTTAATGTCGAAGCCATACTCGATATCCTGGCCGATGGACAACTCGCCACCCTTCTGCCAAGTGGAGGTGACGGTGTTCTTAACTTCCTGTTTAATTTGGGCCTTGAACGTACCCGATGACGTACTGTTGTTCTCGAAGTGTTGCCTCAAAACAATGCTCGGATTAGAGCTGACCTGTAGAACTCTTGCCCTTCGGGGAGTTAAGGTCCTGGTAACTTGGGGCCAGCCGTATGTTTGGTAGAGATCTCCCCAGGGTGTAGGGCTCCTGAGGAAGGCATCATCGGGACGCTGGCCGAAAAAGGCCCTGACGGCGTCCTTCAAGTTATTGTCGCTAAGTTGGAAGGTGTTCCTTTCCTTGTCGCTGATGATGGCTGTATTGCGTCCAGAAAACTTTACCTCTCTTTCCGCTTCGTTGTCTGAAGCGACAACGTTAACTTTAATATTCGCGTAAACTACTGGTACTAGTAACAGGAGTGCCAGATATTTCGACGCCATTTTGTTCTGAAAATAATTAATTTCAATTAGTATACTAAAAATAAATACATGATATTATTTCACAATAAAATTATTGTAAATATACTAATACATTTATTGTTATTAGGTAACTTATTTACACAAAATTGCCCCCTAAAGTGAACATATATTTATCAAGATCTTTTTCTGGTTTCCTTAACCTTCAGTGTGAAGTGAAATGTGTTTGCTTTAAACAACAAAAACAGTTGTTCGTACAATTAATGTATATGGTGGACTAAACACCTTGAGGACAACCTCATGGTGTTAAGTCCGTCATACATACTAACGTTGTTTAATATATTATTATGATAATTATTATTATTTTATTCATAATAGATTGAGTATTAATAATATTCACTTATTAAATTCATTCGTCCCATTGGGGCACATATTTTCGTAATTTTTTAGCCCTTCTGTTTACCCCTTATTACACAATAAATTCTGTTAAAATTTCTTCCTACTTCCAGCCATTTAAACCGTAATACACAAACAAACAGATAGAGCTTTCGCCTTGTTAAGTTTTACAGTTTTAATATATGTAAAAATTAGTAAAAATGTTAAAAACATTTTTGACACTATAATAAAAATGTAATAAATTACTCACTTCTATTATGTCTGCCCAATGAGTAGAAAAATACTAATGATATACATTTTGTGGCTGTTATATACTCTCCCCATAACTATATACAGGGTGTCCTAAACATTTAGTTAACTCAAATAATGAATAGAATAGAATATAGTAGAGAATCCTTTATTCAAATAAATTTAATTTAAGCACTATTGAATAATCATCACGAATTTTTTAATCTACCGCTAATTCGGAATGTTGTCTCATCACAAGAAGAATGAGCTAGAAACTTGCGTGTTGCTCTTCTAAATAATCGGTGTAACTTTAAATTTTTAAGTCGAAACGTGTGTATACAGACTACCAACTAGCACTAATTTATTAGGGTCAAATATAAATACACCATAATTTAAATCAATCGTAGTGGTTAGAGCAGACCAGTCCCTACAAGCAGCACTCGTTCACGAGCATAACGTATGAACCAGCCATCACTACACTCGACTATATTTTAGGGAGCCCAATTTCTCGGCCCACCACGTCGCCACATATCTGAACATTTTAGCGTGCATGACTAAATCCACTCGACCACGTCATAAAGCTACTTAACTGACGGTTTTTGGGGGTGGCTTGCTAAGAAATTTTGGTGGATGGACCCCTCTATTGATGGAAATGAAATGATAGACATGCCTTCGTTAGCTAAAAGGTCCAGAGTGAGTATACGTCAATGAAAACAAATAAAAGTTTAGTCAATTTCAATTTCACACCTTTTTTGGAGTTGAATTAGTGATTTTAAAAAAAATGGCTAACAAACAATAACAAAAGCAGAATAATTGCGATATAAAAAACTACTTTATAAATTATAGTTTTAATCTTTTTGTTTATAAATAGTTACATTAGAAATGCAAGTACTGTGCCAGCTATTGCAGTTAATTCATCATGAATAAATAATAATGTTTTTTTTTATGTCCATAAATTACATAGTTCCAGTTTCAATTGCCAATGGTAAAAATTGTTTTTTTAATAGCACAATGGACAACCGAGCTTGCGGCTCATCTGGCTGTAAGTTTAGCACAAGGGACAATGGCTCACTTTATGGTAAGTAACCACCGCTCATGAGCACCCGCAACAACTGGGGAATTGAAAGTGCGTTGCGTGTTAAGAAGGAATAAGCTTTTTTTCTTGAAAGTTTCAATACTGTATTGGTTCGGAAATTTCTGGGAGTTATTATTGCTGGAAGGTGATTCCACAATGTGGTTGTGGTTGTGCGAGATAAAAATTGTGAGATGGACATCTGGAGACCAAAGCTGCTTGTCCTGGGGTTATGATGTCTTGGTATCTAAGAAGGCATTAGGCCCCCTCTCATTGATATAGAATTATATTTAGTTTTAAGTTTAAAAGTGAAGTACATAATGTAAATTATCTTAGGTTAATTAATTAAACTGTTTTTTTATATGTTAATTAAGTGACATATAATAAATAAAAAAACAGTGATGTACATAAATAGATGAACGTCTATGAAGATAAAATAATAGCAGAATGGAATTAAAATAATATTGTATACAATAATAATAAGTTTATTGTGCAAACTAGCTCATCCGGCAAACGTTGTTTTTGCCATATAAATTAATATTGATACTAAAAAATAGGGGTTGATGGAGGAAGGGTGACAATTTAGGGTTGTATGTACTTTTAATGCTGTCCATAAATATATTTATGTCATAAATATGAAAATAAATGTGGTGGACCATCCTTATCACTTAGGGGTATAAAAAAATAGTTTACATCCTATTCTCACACCCACAGACTATAGATAAAAAAATCATAAGAATCGGTCAATCCGTTTCGGAGAAGTTTTATTAAACACTGAGACAGGAGAATTTTATGTATTAGATTTCCTTCGAAACTTTTTCTTGTCTACACTAATATCTAATGTAACATTATAAAGAGGTAAATTTGTGAGTTTGCGTGTTTGGAGTTATCTCCGGTACTACTGATCCTTCTAGGTTTTTTTTTAAGTATGATAATGGAATGATGCACTCACCTGCGCTAACGGTTTACGCTGGCGGGGCACCAGTGAAGGATGATAAGATGAGCATGAGGTCAGGTCAGTTAACCCATCGTGACAAATTAGTGAGGAATTTATCACGATGGTTTCCGGGGGGAACCGCGTGGAGGTCAACCTGACATGGTATATTGCTAGCAATGAGATTATCAATGCATATTACTAACAATCTACTTTCCCCTCTTTCCGGCTAGTTCAGGCTATGACCAATAGGAGCGGAGTTGCATTGAAAAATATTAAATAAAAACAGGGAAAATGTGGCGCAGAAGAAGTTCAGCGGGTTAGTAAGTTAATATAAAAAAATATTATATTACGAAACTGAAGAGTTTGTTTGTTTGGTTGATCGCGTTGATGTTGGGAATTGTTGGTTCGAATTAATAAAATAATTTTAGTGTTATTTAGTCCATTATTAATAGATATTATTAACCAGGTCTTAACACGAATAATTTTGTGGTAAATAAAGGTCTCTATAATTCTCAGTCAGTTCGTTCGAGAGAGGTAAATACCTTTATTCTTATTATTATTATTAGTGTTATAAGAGCGAAAGTAACTCTATCAAGAAAGTTTGTGTAGAAAATCGTCATCTATGAAGCTAGGACGACGACACTTTTTCTTTGGCATTTTTGGGTTAGATTTTTGAATATTTTTTGAAGTCGCGGGCACAACTACTATAAAATTATTCATAATAAAACCCGGTTAACAATATAAACAATGGATAAGCCTTTTATTGAGGAAGCTATATAACATCACGCTACGACCAATAGGAGTGGCGCTGCAGTGAGAAATATTGCAAAACAGGCGAAAATATGAAGCTAACCAAGACACACGTGCTATAACATATATAAAATTATGATGATGAACATCATTACTATGACACCACATTTAAAAAACTATTAAAATGGTCATAAAAAACTATTTTTTTATATTTACGACCGTATTATGCTTGGGACTTATGTGAACTTATGTGGCCGTGTGAATTGTCGTGACATATTTTGAAAAAAAATTTCTCCGTCATCCTAAAATGTGAACCCAAAGGCAGACAGTGAAAATTAATAATAAAACAATTTAATCTAGCCCTGTTTCTCTTGTAGTCATGTTTTTTGTAATACTATATATATTTTAAAACTTTGTTGTCTTCCGGTAACAATCAAATTTGGGCATATCAAGTTTTAGGTTCACCACAACATCGATAATTGACGATTCTGACTACCCCTACTTGTATAACGGTTGTGAAGGTTTTTTTTTTTGGACTATTCTAATGCTGTTGGCCGTAGCTGGCCTTTACAGCTTCACCGGACGTTAGGGGCGAGTGCAGATGGCACTCCAAACCCGCGGAATTTATTTTTTATATAGGCCATTTTTTGCCTGACGGATACGACTTTAGTCTGAGGGCACCACTAGGGGTTCGTCGTCGTAATTTCGATCCCCGTTTGAATTGGACGGGGGATCGATCGGAGGGGCGCCGGTTGTTAAGGTATTCTTTGTAGTTAGGAATAGCTATTTTATATATGTACAGGTATTGAGGGCATAAATGTTTATATTATACGTAAAATTCTTGTGTCACAATTTTATTTACCATACTTCTCCGAAACTTTTTGACTGATTTTTATGAAATTTTATATGCATATTCAGTAAGTCTGAGAATCCGCTACAATCTATTTTTCATGCCCGTAAGTGATAAGGATTGTCCACTCCCAATTTATTTTTTATATTTTGGACATTTTTTTATAATGTGGCATTAAAAATTACATATAACCCAAAATTTTCACGCTTCTGTCACCAATCCATATTTTTAATAGCGATTTTAATTTATATGGAAAAACAACGTTTGCGGGTCAGCTAGTATTATCTATTATACTATGACGTATTTTTACCAGATATAGATAGATAGATACATAATTTATTTGCTTGAACATTGTTTTATTTACAGTGTAGGTTTTAAAATGACACAATTGTCAACTGATACAAATAATAAACTGTAAAAAGTCGTCTGCATCCCAGTAACCAACCATGTATTCGAGTTTGCTTTGTAAGTTTGTCATAGGGTTAGATAGTGTTTTGTCATAGGGTGCAAATCAGACAGTGAAATTACAGGTTAAGAGGCATAAGGTTCTCTGGCAACGCATGTTTGGTTACGTTACGTTAAGCGTCGATCATCATTACATAGTATAAAACAAAGTCGCTGTCGCTCTCTATCCGTCCCTATGAATCTTTAAAACTACGTAACGGATTTTGAAGCGGTTTTTTTCAATAGATAGAGTGATTCAAGAAGAAGGTTTACATGTATAATACATGTACACCCGTGCGAAGCCGGGGTGGGTAGCTAGTAATAGTATAATTCAGTTTGAATAAAGACGAGCGATATTGAAATTTCTAGCAATGTGTTAATTATAAGGCTTTTTTGGTACTAATTTCTCAATGTGATAATGGCGATTTTATTACACGTTCGCTTTGCAGTAATAATGTTTTTTTTTATATTTAGCAAAACAGAACAATCACTGGTGAGATCATTAGAAGTATTTTTGTAATATTAAGTTGTAACGATACGGTGAATGAAGTTTACTTATTTTAAATAGTATTTATACATTTTAATATGACTAATAATGTACGTCCAAGTCTACAAAACTTACAATTCAATAAATGGAATACGACCATAAAGAAATATCGTAACTTTTTAAAGACATTATTCCGATAATATAAGTAGGTAATTTAAATAATAATAGACAATGTTCCAAGAAGTTTTTATGAAGATTTAATTCTTAACCGTACTATTAGTTTTAACTGCATCAAAATAGAAAATAAATTAAGTATTGCTATATTTTTTTCAAAAAATATCCAGAAAAATATATTACTTATAGTTTTTTATAATTATAATTTAATAGAAAAAGGAAATAAATAGATGAAAAATTAAAATAAATAAGAAATAGTGGCAATTTATTTAAACGTCCATATTTATGTACATATTAGAAAATGCTCATGGGTAAAGAGTACAGTATAGCGTTAGACTTGGCGTCTCTGATCACAACTTTAGAGCTGGAGTAGTATCCTAGATTGATTACTTCCCGGGACTGTGCTGAGGTGTTCAGGTTATCAGCTCGCATCACTGCGTTGATGTCCAGAGCCCAGAAGTGGTGGCCCTTGTAAGTGTCAGCGTAGTTGACGGCAGTAGAACCGGAGAGAGTTCCCTCATAGTCTACCTGGATCTGCATGGTGCCTCGGGTGGCGAATAGCTCAGCTACCACTCTCTGGCCAGGCTCCAGGGTTATTTCAACGCCTGATTCGGATCCTACGGTCACTGTTTCTGATTTGGACACGCTCTCTCCCCATTTGGATGTGTAAGAGAATGAGGTCTTGCCACCGACGGATACAACTTTAATGTCGAAGCCGTACTCGATTTCCTGGCCGACGGTCAACTCACCTCCCTTTTCCCAAGTGGAAGTGACAGTGTTCTGAACTTCCTGTTTAATTTGGGCCTTGAATGTAGCAGATGTGGTACTGTTGTTCTCGAAGTGTTGCGTCAATACGATGCTTGGGTTCGAGGTGACCTGTAGGACCTTTGCTCTCTGAGGAGCCAAGGATCGGGCGACTTGGGGCCAGCCGTATGTCTGGTAGAGATCGCCCCAGGGTGTTGGGCTCTTGACGTAGGCATCGTCAGGGCGCTTTCCGAAGTAGGACCTGACGGCGTTCTTCAAGTTGTTGTCGCTGAGTTGGAAAGTGTTTCTTTCGGTGTCGCTGATGATGTCCACATTGCTTCCAGAAAGTTCCACAAGGCGTTCTGCCTCGTTGTCTGAAGCGACAACATTGACTTCAATCTTGGCGTAGATTACCGGAAGTACAAACAGGAGTGCCAAAAATTTCGACGCCATTTTGTTCTGAAAAGATAAAAATAAAATGATTAAAACAACATTTAATAATTAATTGATATTACAAGTGCGTTTAAACAAAGAGTCAATACTACTGAAGGTGAGTTAGAAATATCTTCGAATCGAACAAACGATGGTTTTGAAGAAATATTCATTGAATAAATATTGTTCCAAAAATCAGCATCTTAAAATGAGCCGTTAATATTTCCAATTACCGTCTTATAGCTTCCCAATAATGGAATAATTTTTGTCACGAAACGTGAGATTATTATTCGAATTTTATGAATATTAAATTATTCAATATTCAAATGGCTTTCATGGATAACCGTTAGCTATCCACGGATAACTTCGATATACAATTAAGTAAATCCTTATCGATCGTTAAAGAGCCATTAAAAGTGACTCCAATTGGGAAACGATCCAGTGATAATGTAATACTCACTTTGAGGATGTACGCCCTTCGAGTAATAATAAAATTAGATTTTGTGGCTATTATATACCATAATCGTATGATATATGGTACATATAGGCTGTTCTTTATTTTTAATATTTTAATTAAAAAATATAATAACAATAAATCTGGATTATCTGGAAATTTCCAATAGGAATAACAAAGACCAACACAAACAATCATACTCATGAATATAAACGATTGCTTTGCGATCATCAGAAGTAAGACGATGTGATAAACTGCTGCTAGACCAAAGCTATCATCACGAGAGCCTTATGGAATGAGAAAGACCTGGTCCCTCTCATGTTGGAATCATATACCGCAAACTTGGGGACATCATGGATCTAGGACACTTGTAACAGAAATATATATAGTAATTATCTTTATATATTTTGTCAAATCTTGTCGTCGTCGCTACCACAAAGCCTTAACACCAAGATTTATAACCAGTGCGTCCTACCCGTTATGACATACTGTGCCGAAACGTGAACACTGACGATATGACTGGTCCACCAACTAAAGTCGCTCAACGAGCTATGGAAAGAGCTATGCTTGGAGTTTCTCTGAGGGATCAAATCCGAAACGAAGTAATTCGCTAGAGAACTAAGGTCACCAACAAAGCTCTTCGTATTTGTAAGTTATAATGAGCAAATCATATCTGTCACAGAACCGATGCTCGCTGGAGTAGACGTGTTCTAGAGTGGACATTGCGAATTGGCAAACATAGTATAGGACGACCCGTAGCTAGGTGGAGCGATGACATACGTAGGGTTGCGGATAGCAACTGGAAGAGCAGGGCTGAAGCGTGCCCAGTAGCGTGCCTTGGGAGAGGCCTATGTCCAGCAGTGGACTGATGATAATGATTTTATTGAATCATTAGTTATTGTGCGTCTACTTCAGTACTTAATGATTTTGTTAATTCCTAGTGAATTTGCCATGATGAGTTAACTGACCTGACCTCATAACCTCACCTTATCATTCTCCACTGGTGCACCATTTCATTATTGCAGAGCAACAATATATCTCCCTTCTTACTAATGTTATTAACGTGAAAGTTTGTGAGTATAGATGTATAGATAGATGGATGTTTGTTTGTTTGTTCGTTTATTGTTGCAGGCAAAAAATACAAATTTTTATGATGATTTTTATGATTCTTTACAGTACTATATCTTATACATCAGAATAACATAGAGACTATAATTTATAAACTTATTATGTATATTAGGCGAAATATATGATAAATGTCGTGTAAAAGTGAATCAGATGAAGTTGCGAGGATAAGCTAGTGTTATACAAAAAGTGAGGGAAGGGGATTCTTAATAGAAAACCAGACATGTACCATGTCTTGTCGAACACCACGAGGTTCTCCCTAGAAACCATGGTAAATTCCTAGTGAATCTGTCATGATGGGCTAACTGACCTGACCTCATGCTCTTCTTATCATCCTCCACTAGTGCCCCGCCAGCGTAAACCGTTAGCGCAAGCGATTGCACCATTCCATTAAGATCTATTTTAAAAAATACACTAAGTTATAAGTACAAAACGAAGTCTAGACGTTTATTAAATACGTACAAGTAGTTTTTAATAGAAATATATTAATATAATAATTATTTTTATATAAAATGACATGTTACTTTTTAGAACATACTGTATATAGCAGATTTGTTTCAGCTTGCACTGCAATAAGTCGCAAACGATTACTACGCAATTGTTAAGTTGCCAACTTATAATACATGTTTGCAATTTATTGTTCTAATTAATTTTACTTACAAATTATTTATGAAAATAGTTATATCAGTAAATTATTTATAAAACTAGTTATTAGCCCTGACTTTGTCTTCACAATATTTCATTTTTTCTTCCAAATCTGATTTGTCGGCAGCGTTGTTCTAGCGGTTTAAGAGCCGCTTTGCTGTCGATGATCGCGGGTTCGATTCGTCGCACGGTACAAACATTTGTGTTAGTATGATTGTTTATATCAGTCTGGATGTTTTCTATGTATTTAAGTAATTTGTATCGGTTGTCTAATAACCTATAAAACCAGCTCCAATAGAGGGTGCTGTGTAAATTGTCCAGGGTTGTTATTATTATTATAATTACAATTATAAATTATTTTTTAAAGTAAAATAGAACCTATATGATCAATCAGTGATACAGTCTACCTTTATATCAAAATTCATCAGGATCTGTTCAGCCGTTTAGTTGTAAAAAGGTAACAAACAGAGATAGTTACTTTCGAATTTACAATTCTTTTTTAATACCTTAACGGTACATCTGGTAGTGCAATTATAGATCACATTAAAAGTAGCAAATAAATTTATTATTGCATTCATACATACCAGTTAGAATAACCAAAGAAAACCCTATAACAAACTAGCTGTGCCAGGGGTTTACCAGCATGAAATTTATAGCCTATATGTTACTCATATGTTTAAGGGTATATTACTGTAAAGTTTCATCAAAAACCGTGTAGTAGTTTTTGAAAAAATAACTTAAATAATTGAAAGAATAATAAACTTTTTTTTCGGACTACTCTAATGCTGTTGGCCGCAGCTGGCCATTACAGCTTCACCGGACGTTAGGGGGCGAGTGCAGATGGTACTCCAAACCCGCGGAAGGACTTATGGAGCGGCTGAAGGCCAATTCTCGCCTGACGGATACGATTTTAATCTGAGGGCACCGCTAGGGGTTCGAACCTCAGCTCAGACCGTCGTAATTTCGATCCCCGTTTGAATTGGACGGGGGATCCACCCACTCCATCCAAATTCACAAACTTGCGTATATAATATTAGTAACATTTCACTATTTTCATTTTAATACATTTTTGTATTACTGGAACATAAGAATTTACTTCTTTGCATCTCCGGAATTAATATAGTTATTCGCATATTCATGCGAATACTACTGTCGTATCCAGAATTAAATAAATATGATATCAATGTTTTAATCACCCGAGAGCCAGTCAGGAATATATTTTGATATAAAGGTATTGGTGTCAGCTATAAAAATAATAATCTCAGGACCATTCAAACAGCGCCATCATTCCCAATTTAAGATAGCTAAAGCTTGTCTTACTAGATAACTGATACAAATACATAGATTTTTTTCGTAAATACATACACATTAGAAACACCCACACTGATAAAAACAATCATACTCATGAATACAAATGTTTGCACCGTGCGAGGAATGGTACCCGCGACCATCGGACGTAAAGCGGTGTGCTAAACCGCTAAACCACCGAGGTCAAAGCTATTCTTTTAATTCAGGAGTTTTGGATCCAAATCAGGGCCACGATTTCTTAGTAATTTACCTTTTTTTATAGAATTTATATTGTTCATATAGACAAAATGCCATTATTAGAAACCCGAGACAAGTAAAAGTTATCTTGGTCACTTGAGTCTCTGTTACAGCCTCCAAGCAACTGGTTTCGGTTGTAGAGCGTAGATTAGACAGTGAAATTACAGTAAATATGTAATCTAAACACTAATATTAATAATACTCAATATTTAAAAATTGCAAGAAATAACTAAGCTTAACCTTTAGTTGGAAGTTCTTTAAGAAAAGAAAATAAATTAAATATTGCTTATATTTTTATATTATTTATTCAGAAAAAAGTAATAGTTAATTAATAATAGTGATTTAATAGAAAAAGGTAATAAATAAATGAAAATATTATTCATATAATAATGAAGTCAGTCAGTGAAATATAAAGTCGTTTTGGTCACTTCAGCCTCACATATTACAGCAAGCAGCTGGCTTTGTAACATGTGTTTCGATAGTAGGGTGCAATTAGGCAGAGAAATTACAGGGTAAGATAAGATTGACATGAAATTATTTATTTTTATTTTATTTATACTCTTTATTGCACCACAATACACAAATTAAAGTACAAACATAACAATTAAAGTAAATACATTGACTGATACAAAAGGCGGTATTATTACTGGCAATCTCTTCCAGACTACCTTCCTTAGGGTGGATAGAGAAATAAAAGTAATGTCAATGCAGATAAAATATTTAAGAAAAAAATTTAGATTTGTTGAATTTTAAATGATTATTAAAAATGTTGGACATTTCAACCTGATATTGGTAGTTGCACTACTGTTACCCACTCACTAATAGCTATGATTCACTGTTGCGTTGACTGGTAAAGATCTCTTTTAGAGATAAGTCCTATGCTCACTTTGTATATAATTATGTTTACTACTGTATTTTAAAGTGCAATAAAGAATGTATAGTAAAATACTATTATTAGAAACCAGAGGTAAACTGTAAAAAGTTGGCTGTGTATGTACTCAATCTGATCTATTTCAGCCGTCAAGCAGCTTGCTTGATAAGCTGTGCTTCATTTGTAGCATGAAATTAGGCAGTAAAATTACAGGCATGACATGATATTCCTCTGGAATGATAAACTAACCTATAACCACAGATAACATAATATTACCTATAACTAAACGACTACTTGAAACATGAGCGTGAATAGCAATAGTTGTTCGAGCACTGGACTTTCATTTAATGTTAGACATAGACACCTATATATATTTATACA